CTTAGCGTCTTTCTCTTCCCCTCTCCCTTCCCCTCCCTCGTTCACTCCGTCTTAAACCTATACCCTTCTATTCCTTTGGAGCTGTGTATGGATTTGAGAGCGAATTCGATGGCGAGTGAGGGGCTGTAAGAGCGAGTAGTTCCACAAACAGGTGATGGGCCCTCAGCTCCAGCCCATGTTCAGGGTTTGAACAAGGGAGAGAGGTCACTGATTATTTTAGCTTGCTTGAATGTGGCGTAAACGAGAGCGCGATTGAACAGTTGTGCACCCAATTGGGTTGGACGCGGCAGGGTGATGGATATTCTAATAGGGGCCATTGATCACAATGACGATAATGAGATCGAAGCTAAGAAGGAGGGCTAAATAAAGAGTGAATGGGGTAAGCTTTTTTTCTGTTCTGGAGGTTTGGAGTAGGGCTGTTGTTGTTGCTTTTTTCATTTATGATAACGATGCCGGTCTTGACCAGCCGAGAGCTGCAAAAAAGAGTAGGCATCAATTTGCCTATCTGTATTGTACGCGTCTCTTCTTGCACGTCGACTATGAGATATCTCTGTTTACCATCGCCTCATTGTCCCTGTTGACAAGAAACGGAAAGAGTACCTGGTAAGTGATTAGAAGCAAGGTGGCCAATAATGATCTGGCTTGGCATTCGGGCTATAAATAAAGATGTTTCTAGGTGGTTGGCCCTTTGAGAAATGGAATGGGCGGAGAGAGAGAACATGCCGGGAGTAGCAACGGAGAGCACAACAAGAGAAACAGAAGAGTTGAGAACGTCGAGTGTGTAGGAGCGGGGTAAGAAGAAGCAAAGGGATGTTTGCAGTTCTAGCAGTTTCGAGTACTGTTAGTATCCAACACGGGTACCAGTCGGTATTGTTTTGTTTGTTCAGAAGAGGTTCCTGTCCTAGGAATGAGGACCGTTTCGGTAGAAACAATTGTTGGACGGCTGGAAGGTGACTGAACTACTCAACTTAACATGTGCTATTTTTGCGTCGAAGTAACACCCCCTGAAATCAATTAAACATTTCAAAAGGCGCGACTCATTCGTGAATGTACATGTCGTGATATCCAAGTGTATGTAGAGAAAGAAAGAAAAAAAAGGATGGGGTACCTATTTAATTGCGGCATAGGTAATGAATGCGCTTGAAGGAGGAAGAGGATATGTGCGCAATGTGGGTTGACGTTCATTCTAGTTACTCGTTTCTTGTCAACACACATATCGACTTTCATTCCATAAACACTTTGCAAACCTAGAAAGTACTGTTTTCGACTGAGAGGAGATATCAGTTTTTGCAATCGCGAGAACGCTCGGCAGTCTACTTTGGCTATCGTACTGCGGGTGTACGAACGGCTAATCGCGCGATTCTGTTTCTTGCCTCTCTCTCTGTCTCCGTTTCTCTTGGAACAAATATTGACCCTCATTTTAGCCCGAAACCGGCAACACAAGCCAGATGAATGGTCACAGTTGCTGTAAACAACACAACAATCGTGCATGCATGAGTACGAGAGTGGGAAAAAAAATAGGGCAAGAAACAAAGTATACGTGCACTATTTCACGAAAAGACACGTATAATTACCTGCTGTTGCATTGAGAGCGTCGACAGTGCACAGCCAAATGGAGCGGGTTTTCTTTTGCAGATCTCTTGGTATGATGATGGTGTGGACAAAACAGGGAGTGGAAAGAGAAGAATGGGAGGAAGTAGGAGAGGGAGAGGTTAGATGTAATTGATTGGAAGGGGAGAAGAGGAGAGGGGACGGAGCGGAGGTGCAATTGGAGAGGGGTGCTCGCTAAGAAGGGGACGAGGGGCGGTTGTGGTGGTGTCGACTTAATCGATGCAGGAAAGTAAAACACCAGCCAAAGCGGTAAAGTCGACAAACGTGTTTCGTTTAAGGTTTTGCCTTCTTTTCGACTGAGCGAGAAAGACAAGGACGAACAAAAGTAGCGAACGCGGTTGTGAGTCAAATGAGCTGCAAAAGAAGTGAGGAGTGAGAGCGACGTTTCAAAGGAGCGATGCGGGGAAGAGGGATGCAGGAAGAGGAGGGGGAGGGGTTGCTCTCTTTTGCTCTGTTGAAGGCTGAGAAGTGAGTAGGGGGCGCGGGGAGTGGGATGACCTGGAGAAGAGCATCGGTAAGAAATGGACGACAAAGCATGAGTGAACATCCATCCATTAACAAAAACGCATTCTTTATTCAGTCGACAAAATACAAAGTTTGAACTCTGTTCGTTTGCAGTTTAGTTGACCCCCTCTCGAGTATTTTTCACTGCCACAGATATCGCAAGAGGAAGGCACCAGACAGGAACAGGCCAAAAAAAAAGCCAGCGTTGCTGGAGGTATTGATGGGTTCCACAGAATACACTTGACTTGTTTTCTGATTCTTGGCATTAAACAAAAGTAATGCAGTTTGTTCACAGCCAATTGTGAAACATGCTATTCAGTTAGTTTCTACCTTTCTTTTCGCGGTCACCGGCATTGTTCGCAGCCAATTGACGAATGCAACAATGACAAGGGGTGGTCAGGTCATCACTCCTTCTACGATGTTCATATGTCTTCTCTCTGAGGAAATGATTCCGATAACTCGGGGGTTTGCTATTCTAATTTCCCCTGTCACTCAGTCAGTTGAATAGGATGGTTTTCTTTTACCTGTGTGCGCATAGGTGGAGGGGAGGAATGGGCTCGCTATTATTCTTTCTTGCTTTGCATGCATCCAATTCGGAGCTAAAAAGCAACCCTCCCCGCTTGTACTGGTACACCACCGCTCTTCTCACACCATTGCATCCATCTTCATTCGCTTGATCCTACCCATTCATTTTTATTTATCGTTCAAACCAATCAATGGCAACTTTCTTTCGCTTTCTTTTCTTTCTCGACTGTTGGAATTGGTATTTTCATGCAGGTATCCGACTCTTTCCATCGCTGTGTTTTCTTTTTGTTCCTACACTGTATTCCTGCTTGTATCGGACCATTCTCTTTTGGACAGGATCCAGTTTTTTGACCAATGCCCTCCATTGTTTGGCCTTCCGAACGAGCAGCTGCGCATTGATATTTTTCTTACTTTCGTTCCAATTGCCCTGGGATGCATGGAGCCCACAACAGGAACATTGAAATGGGAAACTCCTGAATCGCACACTGTTACCTTGTCCGCAATATTTAATCCCAGTTGCACTTCAACAAACAGCGTGCAAGGGGCTTGACGGGGCAAATAGTAGTCAACGAACTTGAAGAGCAAAAATGGCAACATCAACATTTAGGAGAAACATAAAAAACGTTATTCCTGTTCCTGAATCGGAGACATTTAAAGGGTGGTGTTGTGTGCCAAAGGGTTGTTCCTATCATGACCAGAGTTTAGGTTATACCACCACTGACACCCCTTGTTCTTTGTATGAACGCGTCAACTTTATTCCACGAAGAAGGGGCGGGCAGATTTTGTAATAGAAATAAAGGTGTGTGCGCGTGGCTCTTCACTTACATACGAAAGAAAGAAAAGTTCGAGAATGGACAACCTAAAAGGTTGAGAAAGGACAGAGTGCCATAACGCAGTCGAAACGATATCCCTTTGAGGCAGCCGGCTATTGCCAGCTGAGCGTCAATTGATGTTTTTGTTGGCAATGTAAAGGGGTGGGAACTTGCACAGGTAAAACGACAGAAGAAGAGGCGCGTGCATTGCTTCGGTGTGGTGGTGGTTGTTGTGGCAAGAAATATGTTGTTTCGTGGACAGGCGCTCAATTTTTCCTTTGTTGTCGATGTTTGCTTACCAGAGCAAAGGTCCGTTCTCCTTCCTCAGGGATCTTCTTAGTGGCGTAATAGCCCTTAATCATATAGTTCACGTGACTATCCTGCGTGGTTTTGTGTCGTCACCAAAAATTGCTTTTGCAAGATGATCACAAAGGGCAAAGACGACGATGGAGCTTCACGCACACCAACACACACATCCTTCCCTCACACACCCCCTTCGTGGACAAGTAATCGGTAATAACTCATATGAACCAACACCTTCTCTCTTCTTCTTTTCGTATACCCTCCCCTATTCCAGTACAGAGCAGGAGGACAAAGCCTTGAATGTGCTTCGAGCTATTTTGGATCACACCTCGTGATGACAATCACGGAGGCACAGCGGTGGAGCTGATCAACGGCCCAGCTCGACCGCCAGGAGGCAACTAGACACATTTCTATCGTTCCCGGAGACTCCTCGTCTGACTGACAACCAGCGACGACGAACTGGCCCGTTTCAAGCGCCTTCTAGACCGCTGTTTGCAAGACAAGGCGCTTATCGCAGCTGTACTTGTGCTAGCCCAACTGGACTCAAGCGTTGTGGAAACATTGCCGTGGCACCAATACTCATTCGCTCTTGGGATCCGGCCCTTGTTCTCGCCTCAGAAGTTCTTCTCTCTCACGGACCCTGTGGATATGTCCATTCCTTGGACTCGATCGAGACCAAAAACGCGGAGGAACCTTCTGGTACACTCGTCAAAACAACAAACAAACAAAACAAACATCGAGATAACGACACACGCCTGCTAAACCGATTAACATCAATGGCAGATCGGTGGATATCTCAGTCTTCATTTCACGCTCTTGCTCGCTGGCTCGGTCTTCTCTCCTTCGTCTCCTTCCTTCCTTTCTACTCCCTCTTATCCTCCTTTTCTTCCTTCGCGTTTCGCATCTGACGTTTTCTTTCTTTTCTATTCCACGCTCAAACAAGTCAACGAAACAACACAAATGCCCTGCTCACACACAAAACCCTTACCTCCATCCTCCTCTTTCCTCCTCTCTCTCTCTCTCTATCTGCATCGTCCATGTCTCTTCCTCGTGTCCACTTGGGGGGAAACAAAACAACTCTAGCGTCCTAAACCACATCATCTCATCCGACCTTACCGTCCATATCCGTCCCTTCCAGGCCTACCACACTTCACACATCTCCAGAAGTATAACCCTACACGAGTTAACGAACGCGCAGCACCCTTACCCCCTTTTTTGACACTACCACACACACACATACACATAATGTCTGACACTGAAAAGACCAGCGTTGAAGAGCGTGAAAAGAAGAGATCTTTGCCTACCGACGATTCCGATGACCACGATTCCGACTCTGAGGATCGCCGCCACAAGCGCGCTGCCGTGAACGACTCCAACTCTTCTTCGCCCCAGCGTCCTCAGCACCGTCGTCGCAACTCTGATGATGCCTGTAGGTCCTTTTCTTTATCGTTCACAATGGATCTATTGGACGTGTGCAATGGATGGAGATACGTTCCGTGTTTCATGATAATTTAATTTACATTCTAATTTGAATTCTTATTATTTGTGTTTTGTTTAGCGAGAGCCAAGGCTGAGGGTGCCGAAGGTGATATTCCACCAACCACTGCTTTGAGGTCCATTGTGTCGACCAAGGATGCCGGAGTGATTATCGGAAAGTCTGGCAAGAACGTCAGCGAGATCCGTGAGCAGTCTGGAGCCAAGGTCACCATCTCTGAAATGATCCCCGGTGCCTACGAGCGTATCTTGACTGTCTCTGGCCCACTCGATACCGTCGCCAAGGTACTATTGCCATTCGACGTCCGTCCCACAACTTGATGATTGGGCACAGCTTTGAAGTCTAACAGCTATTTCACCATCTCTCATGAATTTGTAGGCATACTCGTTGGTTGCGCAGAAGGTGATTGCCGAGCACATTGAGCCTGACGCAGCTCCCGAGACAGAGTCGACGGCGATCCGTCTGTTGGTTGCACACCACCGCATGGGCTCTGTGATTGGCAAGTTGGGATCGAAGATCAAGGAGATTCAGGAGGCCTCTGGAGCCCGTTTGGTTGCCTCAGAGGAGATCTTGCCCGCCTCGACCGAGCGCACGATCACCATCACCGGTGTCCCTGACGCCATCCACATTGCCGTCTACCACGTCGGCGTTGTCCTTCAGGAGCACAGTGAGCGTGATCGCAACGCCAGCGTGATTCCCTACAGACCCATGGGCCGCAGCGCCTTCCAGGGTCCCCCTGCCGGCGGCATGGGCGGTTACCCACCCCACCACGGCTCGTCCTCTCACCATCACCACCAGCAGCCCTACTATGGAGGATACCCTTCGCACGGTGGGATGGGATACGGTCAGGACTACATGCCCCCTTCGTCGTCGCGTGGCGGCAGTGGCGGTCATGGCGGATACAGTGGCAGCGGAGGAGCCGCTGGCGGTGCAGGAGGTATGAGCGGCGGCCCTGGCTCTGTCGCGCAGCAGATCTTCATCCCTAACGATATGGTTGGCAGCGTGATTGGCAAGGGCGGCTCGAAGATTAACGAGATCCGTCAGATGTCTGGATCGCACATCAAGATTGCAGAACCCCAGAACAATGGCGCCAACGAGCGTCTGGTCACCATTACAGGAACCCCCGAGTCCAACCAGATGGCCATTTACATGCTCTACCAGCGTCTCGAGAGCGAGAAGGCCCGTCAGTAATATGGCATTGAGCTTGAAGGAGAGATAAAAGAGTATGCCGATTACGTTCGGAGGGTGGAGAGTGCAAGAGAGATACAGAGTGTGATAAGGAATGAATCGTATCCTATACTTTTCTTTCTTTCTTGTGTAGTAGACCCATAGTTTCCTGCTGAATAATGTTATTGCCTTTTTTTTGCTATTTCTTCCTGTTCAATGGCTTTGCTTGTTTTTCATTGAGGACACTACCAACACGCGTCCATGATTATGTTTGTTTATGAATGCAAAAATTGTATTGTATTGTACAGTCTAAATGTCTACATCTGATCATACACACCCAGAAACCACCTTGGACGACTCTCCATCCTCATTAACCAACTCAACCTCCGCCTCCACCTCAGAAGCAGAGCTATTGAAATCCATCTCCTCCAGCATAAGCCGGACATCACGGACAATATCCGGAAGAGGTTTGGTTTTGGGCAAGATGGTGGCGGCCAGACGACGACGGTACTCGCGGCCTCTCCGTCCCCCATAGAGCATCTTTAGGGGAGCCATGACGACTGCGTTTGAGTGGGGTGTTCCGCGTGTGTGTTCTGTGAGGACGTATTCTAGGTACTCGTCGATGATTTCTTCGGTTGATTTCAATTCTGACGCTGGGATGTTGTGGTATGCTAAGGGGGGAGGGGAAGAAAAGTGTATAGAAGGAGGGCGGGATTATGTTACTTTCTGTGGTGGGAGAACATGGCTTAGAAGGAGGGTGGGGGAGTTTTTTTTGGGTGTTGTGTGTTCCCTTACCGGCATCGACTTTTGTGAGGAACATGGGTCGATCCATGACTTCACGCCCGATCATGATCCCGTCTACCAGTTCGAGCTGCTCCTTGATCTGCTGTGTAGTGTTGAACCCTCCATTGATCGTAATCGTTAGATGAGGGAAATCCTTTGCCAGCTAAAAAAAATTACACGTTTTTCGCGCCAATATCATAAGATTAAAAAAAATTGGTTAGATACTCATTATCCCTTATCTTCATGCGGACAAAACAAATCGAATTTAACAATCCTGTTGATGTGATGGCTCCTATACCTGGTAGACGATTTCATATTTCAGCGGAGGAACACTCCGGTTCTGTTTTGGGGACAAGCCCTTGAGCCAACACTTGCGCGCATGGACAACGAAATGTGTCACCGGCGTGGTTGTCGATATCAGTCTGATAAAGTCGCAGAGGTGTTCATAGGAGTCGAGGTTATCGACGCCGATACGGCACTTGACAGTGATGGGGATCTTGACGCCGACTTTGATCATTTCTTGGATGATGTCGACGACGGTCTGGGGGGTCTTCATGAGTACGGCACCAAAGGCTCCCTTCTGCACCCTTGGACTCGGGCACCCCACTATTTCATGGCAAAAGAAGGATTCAAAAACGATGGTTAGTTGTTGTGCAATTGACCTTCCCTGTCCCTATTTTGATCCGCAATATCCATGTCCATGTCACATTTCGTCCTCTACCCCGTTCAAACCCACCCCCAAATTTTCAGAGAAAAAGGGTGCGTACCATTGAGGTTAAGTTCCTTATACCCATTCTCCTGGACCAAAAGCGCCGCTTTAGCCATAGGCTCCAATTCCGATCCACCCAACTGGACAACCTTTCCCTCCCAGGGCTCGCCAAAGAAGTTGAACAAGTCCTTGGGGTTGTAGACGAGAGCGTTACAGTGAATCATTTCTGTGTAGAGAGTGAAATTTGGCGAGATGATCTGGCATAGCTTCAGGAAGTGCTATTTTTGTTGAAGATAATTAGAGATGAAAATTACAGAGGATAGGGTTAATGATCCATGCGTTTGGTTTCGATGATAAGAGAGGAGGGAGGAGGAGGGGGGGAGGTAAATGCGTTGGGCGACAGGCTCGGTTGGTTGTAATGGCTGTGCGTCGTCAGTGCCAAAGGATGACTTACAGAGGTGGTAACGTCGACCATGGGCGCAACGGCGATAGGCATCTGGATCCGACGAGGAGACACCGGCCGTCCCGAAGCCGAGGTCAGCCCTGATGAATCAACGCTTCCTCCTGCGACTCCTGTAACTGCAGTTTCTCCTTCAACAGCCTTATCCCGAAGCTGCAGCTGCTGCAATTGTTCCTGAACCTCCGAGACCATAGTAGGGGTACCACTGGTCGTCATAAACGTCCGCTGATGGTATTGCTGATGGAGTGAAAGGGAGACTGTGATGGCTGCTGGTATGATCGTGCGGAAGAGGGAGGATGTAGTTGTCCTGTGAGGAAGAGGAGTGAGTGCCAAGCGCCGTTGAATTTGTCGTAGTCCGTGAAAACCTAGCATGCCCTCTTGTTCCTGTTTCCTGTTCCTGAAAGGATGAATGGAAACAAAAAAAAAAGTGGGGACAAGAACGACCTGTTGGGCGGAGCCGTGACCCAATAATAGTGACTGCCCTCTCAAAATCGATAATTTTTGCCACGAGAGAAAAGACAGGCAAGGTATGGTATAGTATGGTATGGTATGGTTACATGTTTGCAAAAGTCGTTGTGGACTTTATTGGTGAGGGGGAAAACTATGTTACAAAATGTGTAAAGCGAGAAGCAAACGAATAATGAGAATGCTGGAGAGGATGGGAGAGTAGGGGGGGGGGGGTATTTTTTTTTGGTGGTATGTGTGTATGTATAGGATGCAAAGAAAAACACAAAACAAAGCGGAATCAAGAATAAACAAAATGACATATCGAAGGAGAATCAATCGGATCCAATCTCCTCGCTGGCGGGATAGGCGCGCGCAAGAGCGTTCAAACCAACGACAGCAACCAGACACAAGAACGTCACCACAGGCAACAGGCGAGTCCGAACCCATCGAGTCTTGAACAACGACGACCGGCTCTGGTACTGCTGTTGAGTCGTAACACTCGAGGAAGAGTTGGTCCTCGACAGGAGTCCTGTCCGCTCATTGACATTGTTCTTGGTGCTGATGCACGTCGTCGAGTAAGGCATCACATCGGGGTCCTGCTCCTCGTCATCATCGTTCTCGCCGCGGTTCTGCCCGTCCATACGGATCAAATGCGCCCAAACAGAGGTGCCCATGCAGAGACAGCTGACCACTAAAAAGATTGACGCCGCCTCCATGCCGATTCCGTCGCCTAGGTTCATCAGCGCTAGGACAAGGCCGACAAATAACAGTCCGAGGTTGATAATCGTCAGGCCCGTCCACATCAACGAGCCCGCACTGTAACGACGTCCCGAACTACCATAGTAGTAGTGATTCCTGCTGTTGAACAGGCTGCTCCAGAAGGACTCGTCCTCTTCTGCTTGGCGGTGCTGCTGCTGGGCCTCGAGATCATCCAGATTATTATATCCAGACTGCGAGCTCGTAAAGGGAATCCAACCAGACAAGTGATCGAACCAGCGACGAGCAGTGCTCTTCTTGAATGTCACACGCTTTCTTCTCCTGGACGAGGAAGTAGGCGACGATGCTGTCGAGGAAGCCGACGATGAGGAACCATACCCTTCACTACCACCTCCATTCCGGAACCCAGACTCGTACCGTCCATTCCGGCTCTGCAGACTGGTATCCGATCCCTTCTTCTTCAGACAGCTGACTACAGGGCGGGTCACCTTGGGCAATGGAGGAGGACCGTTCTTCTTCTTCTGGGCATCGACAAACGCAGCCTCAGTTCCTTCTTGGCGCTCGATCTTCATCCGCGAGACAGCCACCAGATCCTGGACCTCCTCATCAAACGTCACGCCCGGTGGGGTATAAGTGTCCTGGTCCTGGGTAGTGTTCTTGCTGGAGGAACCTGAACGGCGAGGGGAAGGCTTTGACGAAGATCCACTCTTTCCGCTTGACTTCCTGGGTGGAGAAAGCGGTGAGCCGGAATCCGAGATAGTAGTGGCATCGGTCGATCCTCCGGAGGTCATGGTATCATTGGATCCTGAATTGGAGTTGGAATCCTGAAGAGATGAAAGTTGAGAAAATCCGCCCGTGAGCATCGCAGGCTTGCGGATATCACGATCCATATCAGACAACTGTAGAGAATAACAAGATGAACGATGGAGTGTTAATGAGAAGAAACAAGAAAAATGTATCCAGCTGCACGAAGACAGCAAAATAAACAAGGATAAAACAAAAATATGTCGTACCCAGAATGGCAAAAGCCCCACACGAGACTCGTACAAGGTGGCAATTGCATGCTGGTCCTTGGTAAAGTTGGGCATCATCTCAACCAAGTGGCTCTGCTCAATCGTATCAACCCAGCTGGGGATCTCCTCCTGAGGCTCAGTTAACGTCCGGATCTGCATGATCGCATATGGAAATCGGACAATGTTGTGCTCGGGTACCTGCGAGAAGGGATAGTTCTCCGCCTGCAACTCTGTGGGAACCCAGGGACGCTCAAATAAGTCCGAGGGCTCCAATGCCTTCTCACGGACCATGACCACATCTGTATCAATCGTAATCCGGACACGGGCATCGCCAGGCACCTGGAAGGCCGTCCTGTTGAAGAATGTCTGGGTCACAGGCTGGAGTCCACGCTTCTTGATCCGAGACTGGACAATCCGGGTCGACGCCTCAAACTGCTGAATCTCCTGCTCGGTCTTTTGTCCCGCCAGACGCTGCTGCTCTAGCATTTTGTCGATCTTGGCTGATCCTTGAAGGAGCTTGGGAACATTCTTAGACTTTATCTGGAACCGATGCTTGGTCACAATAGGCTCGTCCAGGTTCGGCGAAGGAGTAAGGGTTATTCCAGGCGACGACGACGACGACGAGGATGATAATGGCAATGATGATGATGATCCGTTGTTAGATTGGATGCTCCGCTGCTGGTGCTCGACCCACATATGCTTTTGCTCAGAACCATACCACCGAAGGCGGACGGTCTCGCTGCGGTCTCGATGTTCCACCTGAGACATGTAAAGGTCAAAGTCAGCATTGTCCAGATAGACGGTCGAGACGGGGCTCTCGCTGGCAAGGTAGGAGCTCAATTGACTAGTAGAACGATGAGAAGAGTTCAGGGCAGGCGTAGGCTCGTAGACAACTAGAGGCAGGTACTTGAGGATTAACATCTTGAGGTCCATGATACTGTCAGGGTGGACCCAGAAGGCCGTCTTCTTGGATATGCAGCCGGGGTGTCCCAGGTCCTCATCCTCTTCCGAATCGATCGATTGGGCCTTGGTGACTGCCGGTGCGGTTCCTGTGCGGACAATATTGTAGAGGGTCGAGAGGCGGCTGACAAGAGGGGCAAAGCTCTCCTTGTGGAAGGGGAAGCTGTTGAGCTGAAAGTTCATAAAGTGAGCGCGGAGGGTGTAGCCAGTGTGCTTGTCGTGCTTCTTGATGATCTTGAGGAAGGCAGTGTAGTTGAGGCGTTGGAAGTGGGCCAGGTCTTGCAAGTCCTGGGTAATCTTGTTGATTTCGGACTCTGTCACGACAAAGGATGCCAGTGTGAGTTTCTCGAACGACTTGCCAGACGGCAATTGGCGCTGTCGGATCGTGAACTCGCAGTGCTCAGTCCGCCTCTGGACCTCGCCCAACTTCAATGTTTGAAAAGACGCGACCTAAATTCGATTGGACACAAGGAGAGAGTACAGGGGAGAGGGCAAGGGAGAAGAAAATGCGTAATGGGCACCAACCAAGGAAAACAGGGGGTAAAGCAAAAGGACAAAGGTTAGGCACGGTCACCGTGGTAGAGACTATTTTGGTTAAGACTATGCTCAAGAGCGCTAGAAAAACAACAAAAATACGGCCAAAAGATGGCATGATAGAGAGAGTCCTCCTTTTTTCCGTTATGTTTCTTTACCTTTTCGAGCTCGGCATTCAACATCTTGACAAAGTCGGCCTCATCCTGGTCCGTGAAGTCTCTCTCGTGGCTCTTAGACTTGAGGTGGGCCTTGAGGCCATCATAATCGACAAAATGGTATTTCCAATGAGGAGCGCGGTTTGCCTTGAGTTGGGAGCCGAATTTCATTTGCTGTGTTTGCGGTGTTGGTTCTCTTTGTTGCTGTTGTTTGTTTGCTTTTTTGTGTTGGCGCTGGTGGATGTTGTTAGAAGAGAAAAGATAGTAGGAAGGTGGTCGAGTACCGATCTAGTTGAGCGAGGGGAGGGATGCAGTTGTTTGAGATAGGTACAGATCAAACAGGGAGGGGCTGTGATTTTTGTCGAAGGAAAAGAGAGGGAGAGGGGAAGAGAAGCAATCCTTCAAACATTGAAAAAGGTGAATGTTGAAGAAGAGAAAGTAGGGCAATGGTTAGGTCTCGATTCACAAACGACCTTTCGCATTACCACCTATCCGTTTGACTAGGGTCTGGAACCAGGCACAGACACCAATGATTCGATAGCGAACAATTTACGGATATGGGCCCACGTGTCCGGATAACAAGAGGTTCGCAGCGACAAACTGGCATTGCATTGACATCATGGCATCGTCATAGGTTTAAAACGGTGCATGGATCCCTTTTTCGTTCTTTCGTCTCCCGAGATGGATGAAGGAACCAGTTATGATCGATTGCTGCATCGTCCACCTCTGTCGCCCAGCGTCTATGGCCCATGGTCCATGTCCCACCGCAGACTGCCCTCTTGCTGTCCATCTTGACGGGTATTTCCCGAATAACAAACACCGCGCTTAGCCTGCATTGATTGCGTTACCTCGTAGATTATCACAATGGGCGAAATGCTCTGCTCGAAAGACGTCTCAAGTGATGCTGTTCCTGAAAATGAAAATGAAAGAAATGGCCGGGTTAGATGAAATTATTCAAGACGAGATGGGATTAAAAGGGGATACCCTTGTTTTGCCTTATGAACGAGAAAGAGGAAGAGTAAAACGAAACGTTTAACAGAACGAAACTGAAATTAAGAACTTCAACAGAGAGGAAACGAGCAATGTAGCCAAAAAGTCCAAACGCCAGACTCGGACGTACTCTGTTCAGCGTATCGCTCTGTCAATTACGAATGAAAGATAAAAGGGAAAGAGAGGTATGAAGAGAAGAAAGAAGGAGAAAGAAAAGAAAAGAGAGAGAAGGAGTGATAAACAAGATACACGATTCAAGATAAGTAGCAATGGGACGTGCAACAAAATGCAAGAATGTTTGTTTGTTTGTATGCAGCGAATGTGAAAGGGGAAAAGGAAAAAGACCGGAAGAGGAAAGTATTTGAATGCAACTGCATACACGGAGAAAAAAAAATATTGCTAGCCGCAGAACTGAAGGGATTGACTGCAAAGTAATGCAAAAGCAACAGGGGGAAGGAGGGGGGGTGAATGGGATGGGATGGATGGGATGGGTGGATAGCCATGCGTGCTACCATGCACTCACACACACACTGCACAACGAGAGTCTAGAAAAGTGTCGTGTGGGTGTGGCGCATGCAATGGATTGGTGGGTCGTGTCTGTTTTTTTTGCTGTTGTCTCTCATGTTCTGCGCCTGTGCAGGACAGAACAGCTAGCCCGTCCTTTCCCGTCCTTTCTTACAGGTTATCCCCCTCTTCACATATACTTGACAAGAAAGAAACAAAACAAAGAAACAACAGAAACACACCCATAGATACACTGAAGATAGTGAAAAAGGAGTGAGAGAGAAAGGGCAGGGTAAGGGGCAGGGTAAGGAGCAGGGCCAGCCAACCGCAATATCGTCGCTTCCTCTTCTTGTTGTTACTAATCCTCGGTAACAAGCCCGATGGTGGGCAGCGGGGGAGAAAATACTCAAAAACAATCGGTCCGTCACCATTTTGTCCCATGGGCGACATGTCTCTTCCTTTCCTCATTCAATTGCATACTGCTCGCTCCTTTTTGTCACCTCTAATATGGAACTGTCGAACGTGAAGGAAGAAAGAAGCCTTGTTTTCATCTTCAAGGAAAGAGAAGAAGCTTATTCTCATTCCCCCGTCCTTTACACATTTGCTCTCAAGCCATGTCCCAATCTTCTCCTTGTTTTCTTTACCGTTTGTTGTCTTTTACACAAGGTCGTGTGGTGTCGTGCAAGAAAAAAAACGAACCCTTGCCAACAAAAATGAAAATAAAAGAGGCATGAACACACAGGCCACTTTTTTTTTTTTTTTTTTTTTTTTTTTGCCGCACCCTGCCTCGCATATTGAATGCCCCTTTTTCCCACTTTTCCTCTCTTTCTCCCTTTTCTTGCTACAGTGCTGCTTGCCTTTAGAACCTCAGCTAGCTTGCTGACAGGACACAATGGCACTAACCACACAAACCAAAAGGAGGAAGCACACTCTGTTTCGCAACACACTTGCTTTTTTTTTTGTCCCTCCCCTCAATGTCTCTCCTCTCTGTTCGTCCGTCCCCCTTTTTGTCCGTTGCACACCAAAACGACCCAACCCAACAAGATAGATAGCGATTTGACTCGAGAAATAGGCGCCATCGTCCTCGATTGCGACAATGTCAAGAACAAGACAACATGCAACATCGAAGGGGTTGAAGGGGATATGAAAGGGGAGGGAGGTAGTGAAATGAATGAAGTCAGAGAGGGGCTCACTTTGTAGTGTTGTAATGGAATATGGTATTTTTCCACCCAGAGATAAAAGAAGAATAGAATGCGCTGGCCGAAGCGAGCGGGAGTTTTGGACCTTAGGCCTGGCCAGTTAATCAGCTTATAGGTCAGCCAGGTAAGACGGACTAGAGTGGGCCGTGTCATGCTTGTCATGATACAAATAAACAAAAGAACTAAGGAAAACAAAGTTTCCGTGATAAATTGGCCTATTTCATCATAACACACCATGGATGAGCTTTTCCTCCATCCCTCAGCCTGCAAAGTAATACTTGATGATGATTGTCCTTGATGATAGATAGATAGCATCAAATGGCTAGTGCCACCGCTTCCTCCGTGTGTTCGTTAAACATATGAGGACAAGAGAGAATAAACAGGTGATTTCTGCAAGGGAAACAGAAGAAAAGGAAGAAAATGATACATAGGCAATGATACTCATCCCGTACCAGTTTTTATGGACCGAGGGATAGTCAAAAAGTAAAAAGGAAAGACTAGAAGGAATCTGCCATCGGGGCTGAATGACAAGTGATAGAGACAGGGCATAACCCCAACCTATCCCCCAATTTGTGTATGTAAGCGCCACCTTAGTTTCCATTCGTCTCCTTTTTTTCACAACAGAAAAAATCAAAAATGAAACACCCGCCTCCACTCCTCTTGCATACAAAAATGAAAAGATGAAGAAAGTAGAAGGGTTCTTAGATTTGATGAGGTGACTTACTGGTTTGTGGGTATGTGAATATTGGATGGTAGTACAACAACGGGCAATCGATGATGTGATCGTGTGAGGAAAGTTGGAGAGGTATGTCGTATGTGTGTGTCCTAGGAGGAGGAGGTGTCGTCGTTGTATGTTTTTTTTTTTTTTTTTTTTTGGAGGAAGTGCGTTAGTTAGTGCGACAATGTGAATTATCGTGTTGTTGAGGGAAAGGAATTGAAGGGAAGGGTATCGTATGGTAGGGTGTTGTGGGGTATGTAGAGGAGTAGTGTTGACAGCCGAATGGTGGTAGTGGGTGGGCGTTGAATGGAGAGAATGAGTCGTGAGAGTGGGAAGGTGAATGAGTCGTGAGAGCGGGAAGGTGAACGAGTGAAAAGGATAGAAAAGGGAGGAAGGTGAAGGAGTGAATGGCAGAGGAAGAAAGACAGCTGAAGTGAGAGAAGGGAATGTGAACGAGGACAAAGAAAAAGGAGAAAGGGAATAATAATAATATGTGAAGGCAAAGGAGAAAAAAAGAAAGGGATAGGAAAATTGGTGTTGAAGAGAGCGATTGCGATTGACCCAATTGCTTTTCATGTTCAACCCCTTTTTGTTGTTTTTTGCACCATCAACCACTAGCACTTTGACCCCACCCTGTTAAGCATATTTTTTCTTCTTTGATCGTGCCATTTTCTGGAGAGTAATAGTGAAACCTTCCAGCCCACAGCCCAGCCAGTCGTCCACCCAGCCAGCCAGCCGGATCCCTATCCCATCTCTTCCTCTCATGCTGGTCCCGTGCTCAGGTGGTCCGTTGCAAACGTACCATCACACTAGTACCTTTTCTTCGCTCTGTTCCCTCTGTTCATCTGTCACTCAGTCACGACGAATTAGCCCCGGTGTTCATTCATTTACTTTGAAGGGAAAAAAGCCAACAGAAGGTCCAGAATGCTCCTGAAGGGAAAGATACACAGGAAAAGTAACAATGCCTCTCGCTTATTCATTTTTTTTTTTGGATCGCCGCAGTCTGATTAGCCACACCTTGCTGTTGATTGCTGCTGTGGTCTTTATCGTTGACTGGTCTTCAGTTGGTGATTGGGGGGGAGGAGGGTGGGAGGTCTCTTACCTTGCTATCGTTGTTGCTGTTGTCGATGCGATGTTGTTGATATGATGTTGTTGTGAAGATGTATGGAGAAGGATGGATGATCGGGTATGCTGGAAGGAGGGGGGTGATGGTATGCGAGTATGTACGAGGAGTGAGTGGATAAATGAGAGTTAAGTATGAATGAATGCTGATATGAATGGGGTATGTGGGTGGAGATGAGTGAGAAGGGAGGTATGGCTCGATATGTATATGAAGAATGAAGGTGCGTGCTTAGAAAACAAAAGAAAAGACTAGAAACAAGAAGAAGAAAATGGGAAGAGGAGGGAGGATCGATGAACAGGTCCCCTTTTATAGCTGTTGTTGCTGTGCGCATTCACTATTATCATTGTTGGTCTGAATGAGCAATGCCTCATCGACGGTGTATGTATATGTGTCCCCTGCCCATCCATCGTTGCCCTTCAGAATTGAATGGTTCTTATTCAAAAGAGGGCGGAGTATAACTATGTGAAAAAGTAAGGAATGAATGAAATGCACGATAGTCAATGGTTTCTATTTTACTGAATGAGTAACATATTGAATATCCTTTTCCTTGTGCGGGACGAATCGTGTGCGTGAGTGAGGACGAGACGCCAACCCCCTCTTTTTCTTTCTTGCACGACAGGGACAAAAGACAGAACAG